GTATACCCAAGAAGAAATAATTTTAATGAATGAAAAATAATAACTGATAAAAAGAATTTTTAAAAGTCATATTTTAGAAAAGTAATAAAGTTTAATGAGTAATATTATTTTTTATTATCAGTTATTTTCTTTATTTCCGTCATAAATAGAATTCTAGGAAACATTGGAAAAAAAAGTGAATGCAAAGAATTTATATTATTAATTATCACTATCCGATACCTGACTTTGGAAATTTACCAAAAAACGTATAGTTATTAATAACTATTAATAACATATTGTTTTGATTGTATTATGTTGTATACCAGATAAAAAAAAAAAAATAAATAATAACCTTTGCGAGCAGTTGTTGTACAAATCGATCTCGCAAATAAAAAAAATATAATTAATGATAAGTATTTATGAATTTTAATAATAACTTTTGACAATTAGTTGTAAATAATAAGTTTTATTTCTTTGTCCGAAATCAAGACAATAAACTCTTGTTTTTGATTTTTTTTATTTAGTGATTAAAATAGTTATTATCAATTAATCGATTCAAATTAATTCTGCTTGGGTAGTATTATGTTATTGTAATCATATTTGTATAGAATTGGTTTTTATACGTCATCCACAGTACAATTGTGTGTATTATTTATATCTATTGATTTCGAGGATTCTTATATACTTAAATATAAATATTCTAACAAAATATACTGTAAATAACAATCCTCGAAATTAATATGTATAAATAATACTCACAATGGTACTGTAGATTACATATGAAATCAAATTCTGTACAAATATAAGTAACACAATACTATAACTTCTGTAGCTTATAAGAATAAGAGTTTCAAGCCAGCATCTAGTCCCCTCTGGACAAGTGAATAAGATGTTTGGCTAGAGATCCGCCAGACAGAGATCAAGCCCTAATTGTGGCAATTTTATTTTCTTTTGTTTTGTTGTAACAATCATTGTTAATGATTTTAATAGATTTTAAGACGGTAAAATATTAGTAGAAAAATATTTCTATGTATTTAAACAGCTTGTGAAAAAAATTTTATCTTGATTCTTTGACACATTTTGAACAAAAAATGAATACGGTTTTGTAAACCCCACAGATTCTTAGGAAAAAAATTTCTCAAGTTTGAGAAAATGTGTTTTTTGCGATTTTCGACTACGCATTACTCGGCGTTAATAAACTATATCACGGTTGGCAAGCTACAAATTGTTATACATTTTTTTTTATCTCGAAGTGCACATCTTAAGGTAAAATTTCAGCCCAAGTGAATTGAAAGCAATGCAGTGACGGCTGAGCAACACGAGTTCGAAAATCGTAAACAACAACGCGTTTTCTTAAACTAGAGGAATGTTTTCCTAAAAATCTGTGGGGTTAAGGTTTATTCATCCTAGGGATTGATTTTTTGCACAGAAAGTGCCGACAGAATAATTTTTTTTTTTACCAAAATTGTAAAATATTTCTGTTTGTTTGTATAATTCGTTAATAACAATTAATTGCAGAAAAAGATTTAAATAATTAATTAAAGAAAAGAGAGAGTAAGTTATTGGCGATGCATTACCAAGTATTTACACTATGAAAACCGACGATACAAATCGAAAATACAGAACTGTCCGTGAGCAGCAAGCAGCAAAATAGTCAATACCAAAGGTACACGTCGGTAAGCACACGTGCGTGAGACCACGTCACGCGTCAAGTCGGGTCAAGCTGTGACGTGGCGCGTGGCGTTTTTTATGAGCAGCGGTAGTACTGATGGTATAAGTAGGCATAACATAAACCGTCAGTCGGCCGTTGGCGTGTGGCCTGGTGTGGCTTGGTGGCATGGCATTGTACGAAAGTCACGTGTCGCTTGAGAATTATGGATTCAAAACAGTGAACGTACGAACATAATGGATTCAGGCTGGATGCATATAATATAAATTTATTCTGGGTCTAACCATCAATATCATTTAAGATCTTTTTATTCGGGATCTATACATACGATATACTTGAGTGTTGTTACCGGTTGTTACATATTTGTGATCCTAGATTCTACAGTATTCTGCACACCAATTGAAGTTTGGGTGTAATTGTGTTTTTGCAGCGGTATTAAAAAATTTTGAGTTTATTAACTAAAGTATACCTAAAAGCAATAAAAACAACTATCCAAATAATTGTGAATGCAGAAAATGTGTGCTTCTTTTTGTGTTGAGAAGCTTTGTAACAGTTTTTTTCACATAATCAAAATAATGGAGATGCGATCGGAATTACAACCTGATTAACCGTGAGTACATGACTGCACAAACTTTTGCTCAGCTTTGTACTTTTACACTTGTATACTTAAGTTTAAAAGAATATGTCATTCTAGGTAAACAACAATTTTCTCAAAGGTTAATTCAACGTAATACAAGTTTTTACAATGTCCAAAACAAAATTTGTATCGAAACAGCATGTTAAAGAGATTTAAAGAAAAACTATTGTAACATGTACCAGAGCAGGAAAACCACTTCAGTAAATCATCTTTGCTTGGAACAATAAATTTAATTCTAAGTTCCTTTTTGAACGTTGGGATGCAAATTTATTAATAAATAAATTAATGAGACCTGGTGGCAGAAGAGGAAACGATTGATACTATTAGTGAAAAAGTGGAAGTAAGTAACAGCGACTATTTTAGTTCATATTTAAAGTCAAAGAAATTTTTAAATTTGAAAAATTTCTTTTTAAGTCCATAATATTTTTTTCTGGGCTTAAAAAGATATATTTCTTAAATTCACAAAACCTAATGAAATTCCATCTTTCTGCAGAGTAATAGTCACGTAATTAATTTATCATGTTGTCAGATCATCACAAATTACTTCCAAGGTATACGATTGCTTAATGTAAATCTCACTATTACTTCCAAATGGGCTAAATTTGCACTTAATGCCACAACTCACTGAAGATGATGTTATTGAACAACAAAGTATTAAATATACAATATTTATTGTTGATCGCAATATTAAAAAATGTTTTAGTGCATTGATGACAGGTAATCTTAGTGCTCACAAAATAATTTTGTGTTAACTTAAAATTCATAATTCATAATTTTTATTCATAAATTGCAGAAAATACAAAATTCTGTTGGAAATATCACCCATCCTCAGCCAGGCATGCATACAAAAGATTACTTATGAATATAGTAAATAGTTCAGTCTACACCAAGCTGTTAGCAGATTTTGAATTTTTTGGAAGTTGGCTGAGAACTTCTACAAGTACACAGCAAATGTTCTTGTGGACATGAAGTTCTTAACTACTATTACATTGATGTTTAACTCCAAGTAACTTAAATTTGATTATTAAGTTAATTTTATAATTTATAAATACCAAGTACACACTACAACTAAAGGATACTCAGCTTAGTATAGTATTAACTACTTGGAATAATATTAGTTATAAATTTTAAGATGAAGTTTTTTGATGAAGCTCTAAAAAAGATTCAATTCAAATCAAACTTGAAGACTACTCTCAACTATAGATTTGCTTAAATAATTAACAAATGGCATTAATAATGAATCTAATGCTAACCTTATACTAAAATTTCTCAGGTGAGATCTCATGTGATTTCTCATCTCAAAATCTCAGTATGTTGATAATGTGAAAAAATCGAAGCATGAAATTACTCAGGTGAGATTTTGAGATGAGAAATCACCTGAGAAATTTTAGTAGGGAATAATAAAGTTTTAGATTATTGTACTTTTTTAGGGTCCCTAAATGAATGCAGTTATAAACATTTATTTGTAGCCTTTGGGAGAAAAGTATAAAATTGCATTTGTATATGAAAGTATTAGATTAAAAAAATTATTTTAGTTTACTTGAAAATTATGTGAAGGTATGATTAAATATTTTAAGGTAAAATCAAAGCAAAATCTCGTAGTCATATTATTCAGAATAGGACACATTTATTTGCTTACAGCGAAAGAAAAACCAGCATTTATGTGTGATATCAAAAAATAATTTTCTATTTTTTCTTGGCACGATTACAATTTTTGTAGCACCATGGTTAGATTTATTACCCAATTTAGTAGACCATAAGGGTGAGATTACATGAAGTCTGGCAGTCTGCAGACTCACTTCCATTACAGCCTACAGCTACAAAAGCCCCTTAAGATCTTAATAAAGCTTTATTTTTCGTATTAAAAAAAAAAAAAATTCATTACAGCCTACTAGAGTGAGAGAGAGGTCCGATCACGTGACCGAGAGGTCCGAAGCCGAGAGAGTTGTATGTGGTCACGTGATCGGACTCTCTCACTCGAGTAAGGCTGTAATGGAAGCTAGTCTGCCAGTAATCTCACCCTAAGACTCCAGAATAATAAAGTACAGTTAAAATTTCAGACTTTCAAGTGCAATATTGGATGATTAAACGAACTTTAGTGAAGTTCAATCATTATTATACGAGTGTCTTGTTCGAGAATATAAAATGTGTAGTACCTCTCCTCACCGCCAGATGACGCCACCGTTCAGAGATAGTAGAGCGCAAAAATCGAGAGGGCTGCCCAGGCAGCCCTCGGCGCTCTCCCCGCCCCTATTTACTTTATTTCGTTTAGATAAGATGTATAAGAGGGTTGTCAGAGTAGTGGGCTCGGAGATGACGGTAGGCACTCGCGAAGGAAAAGGCACAAAAGATTTAATCTCACAATGTATTATAAACACGTAATACAGCAAGGTCAGCTTTAGGCTGATACAGTAAAAGTAATATAACAGCTGTAAATTGGCGATCAAGAAGAGAGACAGTGTATCGGTCGGCTGCCGAAGAAGCAGTGGAACTAGTGAGTGTCACCAGACGACCACGAAGAGCTCAAGTGACTGTAGTGCCCGATGTCTCCATAAGGCGGCGCATGTGTGAGCAAGCCGGGAATTTTGATTGCTCAAAGCTCACTTTCTTGACACTCCCTCCCTTTGAGTCAATCTAGAATTTCGTCTGAGATCCAATCAACTCTGAAAGTTACATCTGAAGATTGATTTTACTCTGAAGTTATGATTCGGTGGTCTCAATGGAATCATTGTCTTCCTGGTTTGACATATCTGAAATAAATATAAGTAGTTACAATGAGCGATTCGTGTAATTGTAAGTCGATCATTGAATACTTAGTATTTTATCTCTGAGGTAATTGTGGCTTTCTGTGGGCAACGGTTTTGTCATTATATCGGCTTCATTCTCTGAAGACGAGATCCACTGAACTTTAACTTTGTCTTGTTGCACACAGAATTTAATAAAATCTCCATGAGTATTTGCCATGTGGCTCTTTGAACCCGTGGTTTCTCTCTCTTTTAATTGACTCTGAATTGTCTTTATGTCATCGTCGAAATTTTTCAATCTATGACAACCATCCATTTGGGTGCATTTTATTGCTGATTGATTGTCACACCAAATTGTGACTGGGTATAAAGTTTTTCCTATCATGTTTCTGATCGCCTTGTCCAGAGAAATCAATTCTTGACAAGCATCGCTCATAGCTAAATATTCAGCTTGACAAGTAGAGAGAGTTACATACGATTGTTTGTGGCTTCTCCAGTTTATAGTGTCTCCAAAAAGCTTTATAATAAAACCTCCTGTTGTTGAAGAATCCTCCAAGTCTCTGAAGCTGGTATCAGTCATGGCATATAGGTTATCTTCTTTTCCTCTGAATATCAAACTCATATCTAAAGTACCTCTGATGTATCTGAACACTCTTTTGACATCTTTCCAATCATTTTCAGTGGGTTCCAATTGTCTTCTAGATAGGTAATTAACTGCAAATGAAATGTCTGGTCTGGTAGCTCCTGCCAGATAGAGAAGACTTCCAATTGCCTCTCGATATGGAGCTTTTGTCCGCTGCGCTACTCCTGCAGTAGTAAGCTCTGAATTTTTAAGTTCTCTATTCTTTACTTGTCTAGTTACCATTGGAGTTCTCTGAGGTTTGCTATCAAGCATGTTGAATCTTTCCAAAATTTTCTTCGTGTATTCTGATTGGGAAAGTGTTAAAATTCTTTGACTTCGGTCTCTGGAAATTTTTATACCTAGAAACTGTTTTGGTTCTCCCAAATCTTTCATCTGAAATGTTGTACAGAGTTTAGATTTGATTGCCATTAATCTACTTGCGTCATTTCCAGCTAACAGGATATCATCTACATACAGTACTAGAATAATCATCTGATTATTTTTACGCCAAGTAAAAAGACAAGGTTCGTTTATGTCTTTTTCTAAGCCTAGTTTTAATGCTTCTTCGGTGAAACGTTTATTCCATCTCTTTGGGCTGATTCGAAGACCGTAAATCGATCTTTTAAGCCGACAGACCTTTTTGCTCTTGAATTCTCCTTCGCACTCTATTCCGTCTGGGATTTCCATAAATATGTCTTCTTCTAGTGTCCCATTTAGGAAAGCGGACTTCACATCCATCTGACAGACGTCTAGGTCGTATTTGTTGACTATAGCTAGTGCTGCTCTGATAACTGCCAGTCTAGATACTGGGGCATAAGTTTCTCTGAGTTCGTACTCCCTCCTGTCTTTAAAACCTCTGATTACTAATCTTGCCTTGTAAGTTATTTTACCTTCTGAGTCCAGTTTCCTTTTGAATACCCATTTCGAATCTATCGTGTGTACTTTAATACCATTTTTGTCCAGGGAGGGTCGATCTATTATTTCCCACACGTTGTTAGATTCCATGGATTTGAGTTCATCAGTGATTGCTTCCAACCACTTTTCTTTATCAACTGAATTAACCGCTTCTCTGAAGTTGATAGGATCTTGATTTGTTCTGGCTATAAAAGCATAAGTCAGTTCATCCTCTGAATTTATGTTTTCTAAGTCGGTAATTCCTTTTAGTGTGAAATTGATGTCAGGAGACGTATCTTTTTGCGCCAACCTCAAGTGGGACCATGTTGGTCTGTTAATTCTAGCTGTTCTGTCTGGCAGCTTTCTTGTCTTTGGCACGATCTCTGCTGTCGTCTGATCAGCTTCTCTTTTCTTTGGTCGGCCTCTCCTAGCCTTGCTAGACTCGTGTGCATGATTAGGTTCTAGTATGTCTTCAGAATGTAGAGTTTTGTCATTTTCTGTCTCTGATTGGAAATTCCAGTTTTCCAAGATCTCGGTTTCATTGAGTTTTGTATTTCTTCTGATGTCTTTATATACTATTTTTTCATTAAACTTGACATTTCGAGAAATGAAGAATTTCTTGGTCTCTGGATGCCATAACAGGTACCCTGTTAGGGTAAAACCTACTACTATGGCTTTGAGTGCTCTCTCTGAGAATTTTGTTTTGATTATTGGGATTTTAGCGTATGCTAAACACCCAAAGCGTCTGATTTTGTCTAAATGGGACTTCTGATTCTGATTCATTTTACTTATTGGTGTTTCGGAATTAATACTTGAATGAGGAGTTCTGTTGTATATATGAGTGGCCACTTCAGTAGCCAATGACCACATACTAGCGGGTAGTCCTGAATCGAGCATGAGTGCTCTAATTTTCCATTGAATAGATTTATTGAATCGCTCTGAAGTGCCATTTAGTTCAGGAGTGTGTGGTGGAGAGAATTCCCCCACTATCTTTTCTTTTTCCATAACCTCTGAGAACTTTCCTCCAGTAAATTCTGTTCCATTGTCTGTTCTAATATAACAAACCTTGGCATCTGTACCTAATAAACTTCTGACATGTTTGAGGTACTCTTCCAAACAGTCACCTGCCTGGTTTTTGTTTCTGACGGAGTATGCTTTGGCATATCTAGAATAATCGTCTATAAGGACTATGATAAAACGGTTATCTCCTGGGTACGAGTCTGGTTTTATAGGACCCATTGTATCTACATGTATTCTTTCTAATGGTCTGTTGGCTTTGACTCTAACCTCTGTGAAAGGTAATTTTTCCATTTTGGCTAATTTACATGTTTCACAGTCCATTATTGAATCTGTGAATTTTACTTTAGATAAAATGTCCTCAGATTTTTGTAATTGTTTTAAATATTTTAAAGATGCGTGTCCCAATTTAATGTGCCACATCAGGCCTTCGTCTAACTTCTTCTGAATGTTAATAATGTTGTTGGAACTTACATCTGATATAATTTTGTCGATTTCATCTGAATTGCTGTTGTCTAAATCAATGTAGATTTTTTTCAGTAACAGATTGTTTGGCTTTAGTGAAGTATGATCTTCTGATTGCTCTTCTGAAGTATTGAGTTCATCTTTCTTCTCCCTCCCAATCTCAGACTGGGTATTCTCTGGACTGATAGACTCATCCATAGACTCTGAATTTTGACTGTTGAGAATATCTACAATATCAGTCTGAGATTGTGTCATGAACTCATCCAGTGAGACTATCTGTGCCGAGAACTGATATTTATTCCAATTTCTAGTTTTTGCAGTGGTTTGATTTTCAACTTCTAACTCTATTATCCAGTTCGGTTTCTCATATACGCCTGAGATATATATTTTTCCCGTTTCCTTGTCAAAGATTTCTAGATATTTGTCATCTAAATAGATGCCTAAACCGGCATCGGCAAATTGTCTTAAGGAGATCAAGTTGTTGGAGATGTCCTTCGCAGCTATCACGTTTGTTAATTTAAACTGTTCATTTAAATTTAGTTTAAAAATTAAGTCGCCTTTCCCATCAATAATGATGTTGGCTGAGTCGTTTTTATTTGCACTTCTGATGAATTCATTGTTGCATTTCTTAAAATTTGTTAGAATAATTCCTTTGTTAACAACGTGATGAGTTGCTCCGGAATCAGCAATAAAAGATATTTTAGTTTTACCTCTGTAGTTATCTATATGATTACCTGTTAACATAGCCTTAAATTTGGTTGCCTGTTGTTGTTTGGCTTGTGTACTCATGTTACCTTGCTTTTTATTTACACGGCCATTACCTCTGAATTTAAAATTACCGTTGCCTTTGCCTCTACCATTACCTCTGAGCTTGCTATTGTTTTTACCTCTATTATTATTATTGTCATTAGAATTATTTTTAACATACCCATCTTTAGGATGATTCCTGTTTGGGCATGCATCTCCCTTGTGGTACTCGAAATCCTGGCAGTAAAAGCAGTACCAGAGTCCATACTGGCTTAGAGGACAGTTAATGAGTCTGTGACCGAGTTTGTTGCATCGGAAACACTTAGTGTCCTTATTCGCCTGATCGTTGACTCTCTGACTGCCTGTAGCCATGTTGGCCCTGGCCTGCTCTGAATTCGACTCTGATTGATTTCTTTCTGCCTGCAATTGTATTAGACTTGTCTTCATTTCTTCAAGACTCATCTCAGTACTTGTGGTCTGTCGCCTAACCATGTTAGCTGTACGTAGCTCTGAGAATTTGTCTGCCACGGCTTGGTAAAAGGCTGACCTCTTTTCCTCCTCAGTCAGAGGTACCATACCGTCTGAGTTTTCATACTCTCTTACTATATGATCAAACCTGTCAATGAAGTCATTGACTTTCTCTTTCGTTGTAATTTTAAGACGATATAGTTTGGCTCTGACTGACGAGGCTGTTATATTGGCTTCAGCCATTCTAAAGGATTTTAATTTATTTATAATTTCTCTAGGGTCTACAATGTTTAGTACCTTCTTGTGATAATATTCATCTAAGTGATTAATTAGCAATTCTCTAACTAGACTCTTCTTAAATTCGATTTCATCTGGAGTGTATTTATCAATTAAGTTACTATTTTCTATGAAATCTGAAAGATCATTAGTTTTTAATTCTGAAGTTAAGTGATCAAACCAAACATTGAAAGACCCTTTTTGAGTCAGAATGTAGTTTTTCTTAAAGAAAGGTTTAGAAGTATTCTTATTTGAATCAATTGATTTTCTGAGATTGTCTAGTGAATTATTTAGATTATCCAGTCTATCAGTGTCATCTAAGCTATCTCGATTATATGGTCTCTGATTAATGTTACCAAAGGGAGTTGGGAGAGGATTATTATGGAGAGTAAAGTCACTCATATTCGTGTTTCTTTGAAACCTCTGATCGTTAATGGTAGAGTTAAATAAAGGTGGTACCTCTGAGTTTCTATGGGCTCTCTGAGAGTCCTGGATGGACTCTGTGGCACGTGTCAAGCTGTCAATCTTAGTGGATACTAGATTGAGAGCTTTGGTCATGAGGTTGGCAGCCTGAACAAACTCCGGAATCTTTTCTGTTGCACTGGACATGGCGTCTGCCGCCCTTTCCATCTTTGTTGACAGTATTAGAAGTTTGTCAACTGCCGTATCCCAAGATTGGATTACTTCTGCTTGTTCAGCTCCAACGTTCCTGATTTCAACAATCTCTGGTTGCTGAATGGTGTTGTCAGTGTCCTCTGGTCTTAGTTGAGGGGTAGTCGTGTTCTCCGACAACTCTGAAATTGTGAATCATGTCTCTAGATTGTTTGGATTTTGCAGAAGTTGAAGCTGCTGGTTTTATATTGCCAGCACCTCGATAGGCCTCTCTGATATAAATGATTCACAACTCTGATACTCTGGAAAGAACAAGTAGGAGAAAAAAATATTCTCACCTTCCTCTGAGTTGTCAACTGGTAAATCTTGAGGACTGTCCCTTGGAGGTGTTTCGGTAAAGTTGGACTCTACATTTATTTGGGACTCTTGGTCTTGTTCATTCATCTGAGAAACAGCCCTCGTTGTTATTGTTGACACACATCTGAATATACCAAACAAGAAATTAATATGCATGCATGCATTTATTATGTGGGCGTGTTCTCGTACACGGACGGCACTGCCTGTCAATTTCTTTGATTCATAATCAAGTATTTAAAGTCTAGATAAAGCCTTAGAGAGCAAACGCAAAAAAGAAGGAACACATTCTTAAGTAGATCGAGTTCTAGTGTGATTGTCTAAAACCGACGTAGCAAAAACTCCTCGTGTCAAATCTAGAGGTCTGTTATAAAATCTATTAAAGGTATTTGAATTGTTCGACCAGTCCGCATCCTGTTTGATAATCTCAATGCTAATCCCCTTGGCACCAGCCTTTGAGGTAGAAGCATGTCTAGTGGAGTGAGCAGAGAAAGATTTATCTACTCCTGCATCTTTAAGTACCGTCTTCAACCATCGACTAATTGTATTTGTGGATACCGGTTTATAGGGGGGGTGGAAAGAGATCAGCAGCTGGCTGGATGAACCGCGAATAAGACTGGTCTTTTCTATATAAAACATAATGGTGGAAGCTATGCAAAGCGCCTTGTTGTCGAACGGTAAGAAACACGCGAAAGGCTGCTTTGCTCCCGGTTTGGATGTCTTGATTAAGTCAGGGATTCTAATTTCTACTGAGTCCTCCCTAGACTTAATTCCTTCCAGCTTAATAAGGGACAGAGATTGAACTCTGAAGACCGAACCCAATGCTAACAACATTGTTAATTTCAGGGTCAGGGTGCGCAGATCTAAGGATTCGAGAGGATACCAGGCCTCAAGTTTTGCCAATACTATGTCTACATCCCAAGTTGTATTGTATTTTGGGGTCGTAGGCCTATTTCTAAAGACGCCCTTAAAAAACCTATTTAAAAAGTCCGCGCCCTGGGGGTCTGGAGGCATTATTAGAGCAACCGCTGTCCTCATGGAAGAGAGGGTACCATAAGCCGCTCCTTCTTTGAATTTTTTGGTGAGACAGTCCAACAGTGTTTGGATCTTGGGCAAATAAGGGTCCGCTGAATGGTCTCTGCAGAAATTCCACCACACCTTGAGCGCCGAGCTATACTGTTTGAGTGTATTCTCCGCCACTGAAGTGACCATAAGGTCCACCATGTCTGCACTTAGACCTCGCCGCAGCAATGCCTGCCTGATAAACGCCCTGCCACCAGGGAAAGTGACGAGGCCAGCGGGTGGACGAGTTTCCTGCAAGGAGATAAAAGGATGTTGTCATTAGGTTTCCAGATGATGGCCTCCTCAACTAGGAGGCGTTTGAACTCAGGAAACCACAGTTGCGAAGGCCAGAGAGGGACTACTAAAATTCCGGATGATCCTTCCTCCCTTACCTTTTTGAGGAACCGAGTGATACATGAGAAGGGGGGGAAGGCGTACCAATAAAGGGCCGACCAAGGGATTGTAAAAGCGTTAATGGCCCATGCTTCGGGGTCCCTATCCCAGGCACAGTACCTGGGGCACTTAGCGTTGATTCTGGAAGCGAACATATCTATATCAGGTTGGCCGAACTGGTGTATAATCTCTTGGAAGGCAAAGTCAGACAATTCCCATTCAGTGTCTAGTTCGTTGTTAGATTCTTCAGAGACTTCGAGGCTTTTTATCACTCTTTTGTTACTATTTTCTATGTAGTCCATGGGTTCACTTTCTTGTAGTACTTTCTTTTTGACATTCTCGCCAGCCTGGTCCAAGGCCATGTTTGAGCAGAGGGGCTGCCCGCAAGGCGGGAGCCTGACCCTGGAAGGGTCCCAGAGATCAAATAGAGCACGCACTCACGCACTAGTAGAAAGCAGTATATGTTGGAAATGCGGCACTCACACTACTTGGCAAAAAAGGATCTTGAGCAGAACAGAGAACCACACAATTAGCAAACAATTTTGCAGGAGCACGATCATACTCCGACCAAAGCCCAGTCGGAACTCTCCCAACTACAGGTTTAATTAGTTTAAATATATTTTATTGGCTTTTGTAATTTTAACATATTGCCATGTACAAGGCATATAAAATATCACTTCTTTCAACATTTGATAACATAAATTATAGTTTACATTATTAAAATACAAAATTTGGTTATTTACACCCCATATTGTATGATTGCACTGCGTATTATAACGGCGCCCACGATTCAACCTCGCACTCCCACTCATCCAGTAATCTCCAAGCTACAATCATATGTTCTCGGCCCATTATCGGGTATCGTACCGGCTGTTCCGCATTTAAACTCGCATTCCCTTCCATTCCATTCCGCACACATACAGATTTCTTATCAGTGTAATTCAAACTTTTTGGCCTTTGTCTTTTTCCTTCCTTTTTCCCTCCTCTCCCTTTCTTCCTTTTATTCCTCCTCCCTTCTTTTTAACATATCACCTGGTATAGAGCATACTTATAAAATATTGTATTGTTTAACATTTAACATTTGATAACGTACATAATGGTATACAATTTTATATACTTGATTATTTTATACTGCTACATGTTTATTTTAGCTGCCTCTAAGAATTCGCTTATATTATAAAGTACATCGATATTTGGTTTAAGAATCAAAGAAAAAATGGTGTATGGACCGAACAGCTTAAGTTTGTTTAATTTTGCTATAAGTATTTTTCTTTCCTTTGAATAATTGGTACACTGCCAGAAAATGTGATCAGCTGTTTCAATGTCCCTACCACATGTACAATTTGGTGGATCAATTTTTTTTTGTCGATACAGGAAACTCTTTGATGATGTGTGATTGCTTCTAAGTCTATTTATTGTCGCGACGATTCTTCTTGGGAGTAGCATATTATAGAACCATGGTTTATTATTAGTGTAACTGTAATAATTCTTAAAATAAAAAATGCCCTTAGTTTTCCCCATTTCCGATATTCAAAATTACATATTTTTGAATTACTAAAAAATTTCTTGCTCAACAATATTTTCAATTTCTAATTTATCCTTGGAATCAATTTGAATAAAAATTCTTTTTGGATTCTTACATCTTGATAAAGCAACGTATAATTGTCCGTGAGAGAATAAAAGTTTTTTAACATACAATTCTAAGGAATCAAAACTCTGTCCTTATGATTTGCTGATAGTCATAGAAAATGCTAATACAAAGGAAGACTGTTTTTTATATAAGACAAAAGGTGATGATGATGAGGTGCCAGTATTCAATGTTATTCTAGGAATATAAACTTTGCTTTCTTTTTTTTCTCCTGTTGTTATTTCTGCTTCTATATTATACGTAAATAGTTTTGTTATTTTTAATCTTGTGCCTACAGAGACCGTCTGATATACTTAAAGTTCTTATTAACATTACTATAGCATTTATTTTTAATTTTAATTCGTGTGGTGGAAGACCTCTGATATTATTTAAAAATTCTATTGGAAAATTAATATTTATGTT